AATAAATAAATAAATATGGGCTATCTCACAGTACCAGAGAATAAGGAAATACTCAAAAAACAAAAGGATAAGGGCATGTCAAAAGGATACTACAAGAGTTAATCTGAATGAGTTCCCAATAGCTAAAACTAAAACAGTTGGAGCAACAAAATACATAACATAGAACTAGAGTATAACCCAACCTATAAAATAAATATATGAGTCCATCCTGATATAAATGATAACAAAAAAAATAAGGGTGAAGAGACAACAAATCTTCCATATAGAAGAATTCCAAATACTCTCCCCTCCAGGAGGTGATGCTTAATTCCATCTCGAGCTCCCCAACCCCTTATTCCCACCTCCAATGAGGGTGGGCTAGACCTAGTGACTTACTTCTAAAGGACAAAGAAAGGGAAAAATAGTACATTTTCAGTGGAGAATATCGGCAAACACTAGCTAATCCAAGTAATAAAGGTTAATGTCACCATCTGGATATCATGTACACCCTGATGATGGTAAGAGCACTTCACCTCTATGATATTCTTTCCAAAAACCCATATAACTCCAGTTGAAACATGAGAAAAACATCAGACAAATTCAGATTGGGATACATTCTACAAGTCATGAAAAACAAGGAAAGACTGAGGAATTGTTACAGAATAGAAGAGATTGGGGAAAACATGACAGCTAAAAGTAATGTGGTACCCTGAACTGGACCCTGGAAGAAGAAAGAAGGCACTGGTGGAAAACGAGAAATCCAAATAAAGTCTGGAATGTAGTTAACAGCAATGTACTAACAATGGATTCTTAATTTTGACAAAACATACCATGACAATGTGCGATATTTACAATGGGGGACACTGGGCAAGAGGTGTATATAAAAAGTCTGCAATGTCTTTGCTACTTTTATATATTTAAAAATTACTCAAAAATAGAAAGCTTATTAAAAACAACAACTACCAAATTAAACTTTAAAGTGGAGCCATAAAACCACTGACCCAACATAGATATCCTTTTGGAAAATGTTAAACTTCTAAATTTAACTACATTTACTCCATTTTGAAAGTCTGTTAAATACAATTAAAGAAAAGGCTGAAGGAAGACTAACAATTTCTTACTGGAGATTAAATCAGGCATTAATCTGAAACATGAGGTACTGCATATTAATAATCCTAGAACTATGCATATTCAACTAGACACATTTGACTGACATTATTAGAAACATTTCAAACACATTAAAAAAATACAGAACCTCATATTCTGCCAAGTCAATCTTCTGTCAAGTTTCACTGTAAACTGTGTTCTGTGGTTCACTGCACTTTACTGGGAAAGAAGGAACATATTTAATCTACTAGTGGTATTATAATGGCAAACACTTGGTAAATTTACACCTTTCACACATACTATGACACTTCTGAGGGGAAGGTACTTTGCCTCTAACTTTATACATTAAAAAAATGAATACCAAAAATTTAAGAAGATTATCTAAAACTTGGATATAAGGCCAAAAGATAGACAGTGTGCCCGTTCAATGGAATATGGGGACATAGACACATTCAAAGGTTAATTACTTATGAGAATATACTTTGCTCCATTATTCCATTTACCACCGAATTAAATATCCCAGGTTAAGTAAAGTTACATATTAACTTGTAAATATCTGTCTCGTAGAGTTGAAAATCATTTTTGTCAGGTAGAAGAGAAAATTCCAAAGGTTAAGGTTATTGATCTGTAGGACATTAATGAGTTTGTAACTAATCTAGCAATCTTTCTTTTTTCTTAAACTATAAAATTTTTTTTTATTATGCTATGCTAATCACTATACATTACATCATTAGTTTTTGATGTAGTGTTCCATGATTCATTGTTTGTGTATAACACCCAGTGCTCCATGCAGAACATGCCCTCTTTAATACCCATCACCAGGCTAATCCATCCCCCCGCCCTCCTCCCCTCTAGAACCCTCAGTTTGTTTCTCAGAGTCCATAGTCTCTCATGGTTCGTCTCCCCCTCC